CTCCGTGTGTGTTGCTGTCCTTTCTCTCTCTTTGCAGTGCAGTAACCACACTACAACATCATGAATCACAATAAACAAGCTTTTAAATGGATTATTTTAGAGAATATTAGAGAACCTCAAGCACAGCACAATTACTCTTCAACAACAAAAAGGGAGATATGAAGAGAACAACTACATCCAGCTGTTCCATTTCCAGCTCTTTCCTCCCTTCCCTTTGTTTTTCCATTTGAGGTGCATGATTACATCATTTAGATGAGGTTGCTTCCAACATCTCATATCACAGCACCAGCTTTGGATTCATTTCCAGCCCAGAAGCTGAAATCCTCCTTCCCGGCCCCTCCCGGGAGAGCTAGCAGCATGAGCTACAGTGACCTCAGGGCTTTGCTCTCCCAGCACAACACAGAGACCCAGCTCCTCCCTCCATCCCAAACGAGAGTGGAAACGAGCTGGCAGCATTCCTGAGCTGTGTCTGTCACCCAGAGGTGGCTCAGTCCCACCTCCATCCGAAGGTAGGCTGGAGATTCCGAGTCGTCGCTGATCCTCCTGACGCTGTCGTAGTGCTCCCCGTACCTGTAGGCGATGTGCAGCTCCCTGGCATCGCTCCTGTCTGTGCCCCGGATCTCAACAAAACAAACCAACTGCAAATGAGCATTTGGAATCCACCTCAGGATTTTCAGAGTATTCATTGTTTGCAAACACTGTGAAGGAAGCGAGTGTGTGGCTGCTGGAGCATTTGAAACAGGAAGTGAAGAAAGTTTGAAAGCCAGATGTAAAATATTGGGCAGTTACATCAGAACAAACAAAATGTGGAATGAAAATATTTTTGTGGAAAGCTCAGAACTATTTCCTGAACTTTCCACAGGAGCTATCAGTTTTCTCATCATCTTCCCAGAACCAGCTTCAGCAAGAATTCCCAGGGAATGTACCATGTCATTTTACCCTCAAATATGTGGGAAGAGAGGCCATTCAGGTGACAGCAACAGTGGGAACAATCACTCAGAGTAAATTTTGGTCTGCAGATGCTGTTTTAAGAGCATTCCAAGCAGTTGTGTTTTGTTTTTAAAAGAAAGCAAACCCATGAAAATCTATTAACTCCATTCAGGAGCTCTGTTAATAACCAAATGTTGCTTTGCTTTGTCAGCACCAAGTTACAGCAGTTTCCACAGAGAATTCCTGCTCTGAGTATTATCTGTACTGATGGGACTATAGTTCCCACCCCGATTAGCAGTGTCTCAAACTGTTAGATAAGAGCTACACAGCATTTCAGCTCCTGCCAGGAATGCAGAAAATCCCACTGCACTTGCAGACCAGCTTGGCTTGACCTGGCAGCCCAAGTTCAAAGCCCCAACAACTCTCCTGGAGCAGACGTCAGCAAGCAAAGGACCAGAACTCTTTGCTTTAGGGCTCCAGAGTTTCCCAACCCTTTTACGTCTGTGAATTGCCTTATCTCAGCTCCCAGACCACACACCAAGTCACCTTCCAGCTGTGTCTGCAGTCCGTGCTGCACTAATGGCTTCAGGTTTTCCAACAAATAATTCTCCATTCATCTATTTTACATTTGCTCACCTTCAGATTCCAACTCAACACTTGGTTATGCTTAACTCCTGTTTTCTATCCTATTAAATTATTCAACTGCTGAAACTTGGTGAGATTTATTTAAAACATTTCTCCTCTGCCAGAGCTTGAATAGGTATCTAACAAATCCCAAAGCTCTTTAAAGACTTCAAAATTAGCCAATTTAGCTCATTAGAGAAGCCTCTTTCCACTTTGGAGTGGGCCCAGAAGAGGCCTCCAAATTGATTTAGAGGGATGGAGAAACTCTCCTATGAGGAAAGGCTGGGAGAATTGGGATTGTTCATCTTGGAGAAGAGAAGGCTCCAGAGTGACCTAACTGTGACCTTCCAGTGCCTGAAGGAGCTGACAGGAAAGATGGAGAGAGACTGTGGAAAAGGGCCTGGAGTGCCAGGACACAGGGAATGGCTTCCTACTGCCAGAGGACTGGGCTGGATGGGATATTTGAGAAGGAATTCCTGGCTGTGAGGGTGGGCAGGCTCTGGCACAGGGTGTCCAGAGCAGCTGTGGCTGCCCCTGGATCCCTGGCAGTGCCCAAGGCCAGGCTGGACAGGGCTTGGAGCAGCCTGGGACAGTGGAAGGTGTCCCTGCCATGGCAGGGGGGCACTGGATGAGCTTTAGGGTCCCTCTCAACTCCAACCAACCTGGGACTCTCTGATTCTGTGAACACACTGAAACTGATAAGTAAATGAGAGCTGCAGATTAAAAACAGAGGGGAGAAAAAACCAGCCTGTTATCCAAAAAGCCAATAAAATAACCTATAAATCTCAGCTAACTTGAGTCTACAGTTGGATTCCATGATCTTAAAGGTCTTTATCAACTTTAACAAGTCTATAATTTACAGTCACTACCAAAAAAGAGGTGTTCAAAGACCAAAAAATTCCATGCTGCACCTGAAAAGAGCTTTTCTACTCACAGCTCTCTTAACTCACACCATTCTCAAGGGCCTGAGACAACCCTTCACTAACAACATTGCTCAGGCAAGACAGAACCTGATCACAAACTCTGTATTGACATCCTAACATGAGGTCAATGAGAGGAGATTAAAGAACCAAGGCTTTCAAAAGGACATCAAAATCTCAGTAAATTATAACACTGAGCAACAACACATAAAACCACTCCTGTGACCTCCCCTGCAGGGTCACTGCCTCTGCACAGGCACTTCACCCACCTGTCCCACTGCCCATGGCTGCCTAGAAATGAGTTTAAACTTGAGTTCAGGAATCCACGTGAAGCTGTTTTGAATGTACTTAAGACGTCACCGACAGCTTTCATCTGGTTTTTATCTTTATTGCCCTGTTTAATCTTTATACTTCATTGGCTCTGTCTGTAAATAGAGGCCAGAAACAATCCTGACTTGAATATACGTTCTCACTTGCTCAATGACCAGGCAGACTGAGCATTCCAGTGTGGACATGCCATGGAAAAACAACAATTAAGAGAAAACAAGGGACGTGGTGCATGTTTCTGTGCCCCTCTGTCAGAGGAAACCACACCACACAGTCCTTTCCAGGAGCTGACTGAACACCACTTTAGGGTTTAAAATTTCTTTTAAAACCTCGCTTCTCTATCTGTCAGAAACCTTGGCATTCCACATCCCACGTAGAATTGATGGAGCTTCACTCCAACACAGTGCATGCCCTGCTCTACCCTCATTTCCATCTTCCTGAATCTTATTGTACAGGTTTCCTTAAGCCTAGCTCAAATTCCAGGGAGCTATGCAGCCCTTCAGAAGGACTCACCAGATTGGAGAGATGGGCAGGGAAGAACTGCCTGAAGTTCAACAAGGAAAATTCAGGTCCTGCCCCTGAGGAGGAACAACCCCAAGTACCAGCACAGGCAGGGGTGACCTGCTGGAGCATCTCTGCACAAAGTACCTGGGGGTCCCATGCTCAGTGAGCTGTCCTGGAGCCAGGAGAATGTCCTGGGGGCCAAGAGGCTCTGGGGTGCACTGGGAGGAGCATTGGCAGCAGGTCAGGCAGTGACCCTGGCCCTCTGCCCAGCCCTGGGAGGCACAGCTGGAATTGCTGTGTCCAGCCCTGGGCTCCTCAGCACAGCAGGGACAGCTCCTGGAGCAGAGCCAGTGAAAGCTGCAGAGGTGATTTAGGGCCTGGAGCATCTCCCTGCCCAAGAAAGGCTGAGGGAGCTGGGGCTGGTCAGTCTCAAGAGCAAGGAGACAGGACCAGATGATCCCAGTGTTGTCCCCTCCAACCTGACCCATTCTGGGATTCCTATCAGAAAACTCAGCTCAACTGCAGTCTGATCTCCATGAGACAGAGCATGGCACTGAAGCTCATAGCTTAAAACCCAAGTAAAACACACTGCTCTGCCTCCACAAAGCCATCTCTCAGGTACTCATTCTTTTCTTTCCCTCCCTTCTCTCCTAGCCAAAATCTCGAGTGTTCTCCCTCTTCAAAAACCAAGCACAGCTCTGCACCATGCCCATGATCATTGCAGCTACTGCTCTTTTTTAATAAATCATGAATTTTCCACATAATTTATATCCCTCGGGAAAAAATCAGGCCAAAATGTAGAAGCTTTGTTTCTCACCTGCCACAGTGGAGCGTTGAGCTGATGAATAACCACATTCATTTGATTGTTCCTTGCAAAGGCCACGATAGCATCATTGCCAGCAAAAGTACCAGGCTTGGCCAAATTGGCAACTAAAGGAAAAAACATTCGTAAGAGCTGAAACCTAATTTCTGATACTTCATACAGGGATAACAAGGGGTGAGATTTCAACATGAGCCCAAGAAATTCTGGAAGGGAAATCCCATCTGTGAAACAGTGAGTGCTGAGGCAAGAATTTGGCTGCAACATGAGTTAATGCATTTAAATGACCATAGAAATCTCTAAAAAAGGCACTACACTCTTAGTCTAAGCAAGGGCACGGGTTCTGTTAGCTCAGAAGGAGGAGTGCCACATATTGAGTGACCAAAGCACTTTCATGCATCACCTGCATGGTACCTGGCACATCAAAGGTGGTATTTGCCTCTGGTTTTGGATCTTCCCCTTAGTTCCCAGGAGGAAATACTGAGTGCCAAAGAGAAAGGATTCCAAAAAAAATCAGCCACTCACCAAAACAGCAAAATACCCACCAATATTCAAAGCAAACTAGACAATTTTTCTTAAGTTCCTTTTGAAAGCACCTAATTTTTTACTCCTAGCCTTTTTGGTCTCTCTTTCCAAGTTTCTCCTAAATTTAAATAATTTCCAAGACAAATTCAATGCGGATTATACAGCTCACCTTCCCACAGCATCACAACAGCCGTGAACATAAAGTGTCTGCTTCTAAAAACTAGAGAGGAGCCCTAAGGGAGTTCTGAGATGAGGAACTGGTTAGTGAGGAGCTGCTCTAAGGAGATGCAAGCCCATGACGCAATGCTGCCTCCCAGGATGAGCCCCTACCATGTTTGTCAAAGGGCACATCATCCTCCACGAAGGGCTCGAAGTCCCCGCGCTGCCTCACCATGAACTGCACCGTGTCCTGCCGGTGCTGCAGGTGGTTCCGGGAGTGCCCCTCCAGCTGGTCCCCCAGGGCACGGAACAAGCAGTTACTGCCGGAAAGGAAACGAGGAGTGGGTGTGTGAGGCAGCAGAAAGAATACGAGGTCACAGGGAAAGGGGCTGTGCTCATTCTGCCCAGTTTAGCAAGGATATGAATGCAAAGGAGAGCTCATTCCCTGTGCTTTGAATGGCTGCTGCTGCTGGAACAGCTGGGTTTGAGTGATCGTGTCACGGTAAAACTGCTGGGCCAAGCTCTCACACTGACACCAGCCAAGGGACATAAAGCAACAAAGGACAAAGCAATGCCCCACTGAGCAACTTCTCAGCAAAACGTTTACTACCCTTTCACCTTACAGAAAAGAAGAGGGTGAAAGTGTTCCATAAGAACATTTATGGACCTTCCTATGCTCAGTTCTGCTGGACAGTGGAGCCCCCGGGCCCCTGGGCACCAGGGCTGGGACTGGCCGAGCCGTCGGGCCCTATAGAACCGCGGAGAATAGCAGAGATCCCTGAGAGGTACAGCGGGGATCTCCTCATCCCTGCGGAGCACAGGGCCCACTTCAGCCATGAGGGGAAAATCCTCGTCCCCCGGGACACGGGGAGGAATGAAAGCCCTCGGCCCCGGGGACACGGGCTCCCGTCAGCCCGGGAGGAGGAAGCCGTCAGCCTTCAGGGCTGCATGTGCGGGAATCACCGGCCCCGGGGTTACTGGGGTCACCCGTCGCGGCGCTCACCCATCTCCCGGCACCTCCCGCAGCTTGAGGCCGAGGGCCCGGAGCTGCCCGGCGAGGCCGCCGCTGTCGCCCGGAGCGGGGCCCGGTGCCGGCCCGGTGGGAGAATGCCGGGGCCGGCGGCCCTTCCTGGCGGCGGGCCGGGCCTTGGCCGCCTGTTTGCGGGACATCCCCGCCGGGACCGCCGGGACCGCGGCACCGGACACGGCTCACGTGACCGCGACAATGGGAGCGGATCACGTGACCACGGCGCCGGGACGGCTCACGTGACCCACCGTCCGTCCGGGGGATGCTCGAGCAGGAGGAGGACGCGACACGACACGACACGACACGACACGACACGACACGACACGACACGACACGGAGGGCTCCCGGGGGAAAACTGAGCCTGCGGATCGAGAAGCGGCAGCGGCGAAGGGAAGGACGGCGCAGCCAAGCGCCGGGAGCGGCGTGTCCGCGAGGGAAGGCTGGGGAGGCTGCGGAAAGCAGCGCCACAAATCACCAGTGTTGTACCAAAAGCTGCCGGATTCCGGCTAATTGGCCGCTACTGCTAATTGCCCAGGAGCAGTTCCCTGCTGCCCAGCACACTCCCGACCCTCACGGTGACGCCTCGCACTGACCGCACGGGTGGGCGCTTTGTGCTGCCGTTCTACACGAGGACCGTGTTCCACCCCAGCCCGTGGCTGCTCAGCCCCCATCACTGCTGCGAAATGAACTGGCAGAAAGCAGGGAGGTGAGCAGATGGAATAATGGAATACCCGCGAGGTGGCACCAGGAGAACAGGGCTGAGACGAGCGGCGGGGCGGGAGCGCAGCCGAGACAGCAACCATTAATTAAATGTGTTAAGTGTAATAAACTGAACCTCCGCGTCTTGTTTCCTCTAGCTCTGAGAGAGACTCCTCACAGGATGCTGCAAAAGGGGCACAGCAAGATGGGTGATTTGGCTGGATCAGGGCTCTTGGGGAGGATTTCCTGCCATCCTTATGCTCTTTGGCTCTTCCAATTGTCCCACAGCAACCGGGTAAAGGATTCGGCCAGCAGCAGCACCCAGCAGGGCATCGCTGTGCCCATGACTCGGGTTTTTCTGCTCGTATTGTGACAGAAACTGCCCGATGCTGTCAGAACTGCTGCACATCAGCCGAGTCCAGAGGAGGCCACGATGAGCAGAGGGATGGAGCACCTCTCCCATAAGGGAAGGCTGGGAGAACTGAGATTGTTCATTTTGGAGAAAAGAAGGCTCCAGGGTGACCTAACTGCAGCTTTTCAGTACCTTTCTTGTCAGGGAGCTGACAGAAAGACGGAGAGAGACTGTGGACAAGGGCCTGGCGTGCCAGGACATAGGGGGAATGGCTTCCCACTGCCAGAGGGCAGGGTCAGATGGAATATTGGGAAGAAATTCTTCCCTGTGAGGGTGGGGAGGTCCCAGCACAGGATGCCCAGAGAAGCTGTGGCTGCCCCTGGATCCCTGGAAGTGTCCAAGGCCAGGCTGGACAGGGCTTGCAGCAAGCTGGGACAGTGGAAGGTGTCCCTGGCTGTGGCAGGGGGGACACTGGATGAGCTTTAGGGTCCTCTCTAGCCCAAACCAATCTGGGATCCTATGAATTTCTAGTTCTATCTCAGGAGGCACATCCAAACAACTCTGTGAGGAACACTAACAAACCAATCCCAGGAACACAAGAAGAGGCTTCACATCACAGTGATTTTTAAGTTGTATATAATTTTTATGTTCTTCTTGTCCCAGGTCAGGACAACCTGAACCACAGCTCAGCACAGGGAGAAGCTCACAGGAGTATCCCCAATATCTTCTGGGGTGTTTGGCTTCTGGCACGTGAGAATTTTACTAGGACACAACTGCTATTTTATATTTATTTCCTGCTATAAACAATTCCATACAAAGCATTTCATAAAACACATTTTCTTATGCAAACACACTAAAAGCCGTAAAACAGTGTGAGTACACAAACTGATTGCAAATGATTAAAGAGGCAGTAATTAGCCTGAGGAGCATTAACGGGCTGTGAGCAATTCAGATAAGCACAAGGCACATACCAGCCAGGGAGCATCACATGCCAGCCTGGGAGCATCACTCGTGACACCAGAGACAAAGCAGAGCTGGAATCAGGGCTTGGCTGAAAACTGCCAGTGGAGGACAACAAAAATCTGTTTTCCAGCGTGTAAGACAAAAGAGACAGTCAAGTCACCCTCACCTACTGGTAGAACACAGAGCAGATAGACATGGAGCATAGATTCATCCCAAACAGTTTTAAACTTTTATGTTAGGAGTGTAGTTGTCCTTCTTGGTGTCTGTTCCAACTTTCAACATCTGCAAGGTGTTTTTATATTGTTCTAATAATTAGGAATCAGGAAATTTTAAGACATTTCCATCCTTGCCATGGAAACTGACAGAGCAAATTTGAAGCTTCTAAACTATTGTAATAGTGGCAAGTCTGTTTTCTACTTTCCTGGATGTTTTTAACAGCATGAGCTTGCTGACATAGAGTTATGTGAAATGCAAAAGAAAATTCTCTTTTTAAAGATGAATGAGTCCTGCAGTTCACCAGTCTACTTCCAGACATTCCTGCACTTTGATACCAACTTCTGCAACTGAGAGATACTCAGGCTCCTAAAATTTGAGGTCAGCCAAAAGTCCATCAAGCACCACCACCTGCCACGTCAGCAGAAACACAGCAGTGCTCAGACACTTTAATGAAGTTTGCTTATGACAAACCTTCCATTTCTCAGCAAATAAGAACAAGTTCTTCTCCCCTCATCCCCCCCCTCCAGTGAGTTTGTGAGATTAGAGCCTTCCTGAACTCCTTGCCCTCCTCATCTGCAGTTGTTTCATTTCTTTCTGCTGCTCCTCTCTGGGAGGGAGGGCTGGGACATGGGGGCACAGGCAGTGTGAGCATTCAGGTGCACTTCAGGCTACCAGCGTGGTACTCTGTGCCTTCTGCTGACCTCATCTGAGTTTTTGGGATTAGTGATTCTTCCTTCTTTCATTCCTTCCTTCCATGGGATTCTTCATGAGAAACTATCTGTATTTTACTCCCCAAATAAAAAGACAGAAAGAAATTAGAGACTGAGGGATTTTGTTCAGGCATTTTTTTCAGATGAGATGAATATTCACAAAACCACTCAGGAAGGGCATTCCCAAGTGCATGAAGTTGTTTTTGGTGAACACCACAGAAAGAACATGGTTCCACCATCTAGGACACTGATCTTGCTTTTAGGTTCCAGAGCTCTCTCATGGACACTGAGAGACCCTGTGTGGGCCTCAGTCATGCTTCAGTTTGTACTGGGAACCCTCTGATGACTAAAACAAACAGGACAAAAGCTATCCTAGGATGGAAAAGAGATACCCTAGGATAAAAGAGCTTATAACAATTGGACATTCAACAGTCAAGTCAATAATTTCAATCTCATTCTTCACTTGGTGCTGTAGGGTATTAAGTATTTCTAAACCAAGAGCAAACTTCCTACCCAGAGAGCTCAAAATTGGTGATACTTACACTCTAATCAAAGCACTGCATTCAGCACACCAATGTTAGAAAGAGGTCATTCCCCCAAGCCTGTCACTGTCCAGCAAAGCACTGTTTAGAGAACAAAAAAATTGCTTTCAACTAAGAGGGTTCTAATTTAAAAATAATGATGGTATCTGGCTGTCAGAGTGATCTGCTAATGCCATGGAGTCTGCTTCTGGACAGGAATTGCCCACTGATATTATCAGTTGTTGTAAACTGTCTTGGCTGAGAAATCAATCATTAACTCTGGTCCCCATGTCATAAAAACATCGTATTGTAAGAGCATGACTCGCTTAAGGTTCCCACTAATCAGTCAGGCATACAGCAGGAATACAGCAACACATAAAAGGAGCCAGAGACTCGGGAAATCCGTCAGCTAAGGGGAGACAAGCTGCACTGAGGTTTATCTCCATGGAGAAATCCACTGACAAGCCAAACAAGGAAAACAGATCGTCAGCTCCTGGAGTACTGCAGGCTGAGGCAGACGGTCCCGCACCCGCGGCGGGAGGTGCTGCAGAAATGAGCAGAGCAGGATCCGTAACACAAAACTCAAAACACAAGAAGAGAGTGGGATTCACTGAAGAGTGTACTGAAGAAATGGAGAGACCTTCAGGAACAGAGAGAGACAGTCCTGCTGCCTCTGAACCAGCAGTTTTGGAACGAGACTCTCCAAACTCACAGCCGCTTGCTGTGCCAACGAACACAAACTCTCCTGAAATGAGCACGTTGGAAATGAACCACCAGTGCTCAGACACAGCCCCTCTGGATATGGACTGCATGATCTGCTTCAACAAGTACAGCATCTACAGAGTCCCAAAGCTCCTGGACTGCCAGCACACCTTCTGCGCCGTCTGCCTCAAGCTGATCCTCAGAAAAGAGGAGAACGTGTGGATAATCACCTGCCCTCTTTGCAGAAAACCCACCTTCGTGTCAGGAGGGCTCATCCGCACGCTCCAGAACAAAGAAGACATCCTGGAGCGCTTGGAGAACCTTGACTCCAACCCTGAGGTGTACATCTGTGCCGTGGGGCTGGATGGCAATAGCTGGACTCAGAGCAGCCAAGACATTTTAACCAGAGAGGAGAACAGCCCAACACACACCAGCCTGGCTGTGCAGAGACTCGTGCTGCTCCTGCTGCTGGGGGTGATCCTCGCCATGCTCATCCTCCCATTTATGTACTCGGGGAGGGTGAAATGGGTAATTTGTCTCCTGCTTACTTTGGGGTTGCTCATGTCTCTGATGCTTTGTTGCGCTCCTAAATTCCACTGCAGGTGCAAGAAAGACTCCCCCAGCCCCTGCGACAAGGAGATCCACATTGTTACGGTTGCCTGAAAGAACTGATCTGCGAGTCCCAGAGATCAGGGACTGGGCCAAAATGCAGGCTGGGCACACCAGTGAGTTATGGACTTAAAGCAATCTCTCAGAGAATAAATTCAACAGTTGGCTGAGCTGGCTCAAGGCCAAGGCACATTGTTGTTAAATCTCATTACTGCCAACAAAATGAACTACTTATATGTTGATATTTATGTGTTTTCCACACAATTGGTAACCCAGACTAGTAATTGTGTTGGTTTGCTTTTGCCGTTTTGTTCATGTCTGTGTCCCCTCCTGATCAGCCCTGCAGGATGTTATCTGGAACACCCTGGAGGTGATGTCCTGCAAAACCCCACGGCTGCTGTTCCCACTCTCTGAACACACAAACACCGTTCCTTGGGACAGTGTGGGAAAAAGGCTGCTAAATCAGGCAGTGGGGGTTTAGAAGAGAGTAGTTTTAGCCCAGATCATCACCTTAATCCCTGGCAGGGATGGGAAAGGGACTGGGGAAAGGGATGTCAGTTGAATGCCATTTAAAGTTACACACAAAATTGGAGAGGAAGAGGCAAAACCAACACTCCCAATCTTGAGTCTGTGATGTGCAAAGGGCAAGGCTAAAATTCCCCACATTATTTAGCACAGAAATAGTTCCTCTCACCTGCATTCCTTTATCTGGCAACCTGCAGGACCTCTCTTCTTGCCCTCTTTACATTGCCCTTGGAATTGCTCACAGAAAACAGAAATCCATCAACTGCTGCGCCACACCATGCGTGATATATCTAAATGGAATGTCTCCATTAAATTTAAATAATATTAATTGCTCATTGACTTCCTTGTTTCAATTCCTCGTGGACAATTAATGTCAAAACAATTCCTAGTTTCCTTATTGACAGGAATTGCTGCTGAGAAAGTGAATTAGGGAGTCTGCAGAGGTGAACTGGTGAGTAAAACAAAGCAGTAATGTGTTAGAGTGCTCCTGCATTTAAAAAAATACTTAGTTACTAAGAAAATACCCTGAAACTCAACTAAAATAAAACTGAAGGGGAAAAAATAGATTTCTCTAGTTAAACGACATGTTTAAGAGTGTCAAGGATCTCACGAGACCTTGGATCAGGTAAATATTTGTGTTTGATAAGAATAGAAACTGATGTCCTGCAGTTACTCGGTATATAAATATACAGAGTGTCTCACAGCAGATAAAACGGATTAGACTAAGAGGGTAGGAGCTCTTGTGCTCCTGAAGTCTTGGAAAACACAGGTTTGTTTTCTGCCAGGCACGGGAGCCTTTAGGGGAAATAAATCCTTTGGGTTTTCTCATCTCTTTGGACAGCAACAGGCTTACTGCAGAATACATATGACATTTGCTAATAACCAACCAGAAGAAAAGCTTTCCAGTTGGGAAAAAGGCAGGTAGTTTTAAACCCAAATACTATATTATTCCAAATATGAAGATTGGACCAGATATTTAGCTGCACTGAAAATAATTTCAAAAACACTGGGCAAGTCCTTCAGCTCACAGACAATATTCTTGTCGAGGTCCCTTCACCAACACCAGTGGCTGACTGGTACTGTAACGGTCTGTAACAAATGTATTAATATTGCCCTGAACAGATCACTCACAAGGGATCCTGCCAGCCCATGTATGTTTTCAGCACATGGGTGTGAAGAAATGAGAACAAAATTAACATGATCAGTAAAATCTGTTACTATGCCTTTCCAAAAGAATTGTTTTATTACACTACTTTCTACAGAGTCAAAAAAAAAAAAGAAAAAAAAAAGTCAACAGGAAAGGGCAGCATACAGAAGTGTGATTTCCAGGGAAAGACTAGCCCTCTGAAAGAATCCCTATGGACCCACAGTTATGAAGCAGCACCTTCCAAGATTTCCTTCAGCAGTTCCACAGAAATGTTTTCAGCCTGAGAGCCATGAACACCCAGGCAGTTCAGAGTTCACAGAGGCTGGTAGTCATGAAGCTCTGGAACCTGCTATCTTTTGAACAGATTCCCATCTGACAAGGTAAGGCTCAATAACCATGCAAGACTTTGAAGAGGCAATTAAGTTTATAGAGAAAAGGCTAATGGGATTTATTCCTACTCCAAAATGTAAAGGATTTGTTTGTTCTCAACTTTTAACTCATGCTGGTCATTTTGTTAAGGAAATTTTAGCTCTTAAGTCCCATGCCCTGTTTATCGTACCTGCCTAGCTCCTGATTTCAGATAGTGACTGGGTAATAATACAATGTGGCCTGAAATAGAGGGAATTGTATGTGGACACACACATTTAGAGAGCTAGGGAATTACAGCTTGGAAATTCTTTTTCAGGCCTGGATTTCTCCTGACTCTCAGCTCCATTCCCAGGCTGACAAGCTGACTGCAGCTTCAGTTAGGGAGGAGTCTCCCAGGGTGAGAACATGGTGACAAACAGAGTGGAATTCATAACAAAGATTAACACCTGGTGTCTTTCCATGGGATACATCCTGAGGTGCTGTCCCAAGGATGTTTTTCCCAATTGTCCAATGAGCTCCTGTCTTGTCCTGGCTGCACTAACACACTTTAAATCCGGGCTGTCTGTACAATAAATTGGCCTTTTTTCCCCAGAGGTCCGTGTGTGTTGCTGTCCTTTCTCTCTCTTTGCAGTGCAGTAACCACAATTGTAATGAGAAATGGGGCTGGGCAGCATCACCTCATCCCTCGCCATCCCCTCATCCCTGGCCATTCTCTCACGTGACCTCAGGCTCAGCTCGGTTGTTTGGAGCATGGTGCTGACAGCACCAAGATCGTGGGTTTGATCCCTTCTACCATTCACTTAAAGGACTTGGACTTCATGATCGCTGTGGGTCCCTTTCAATGCAGAATATTCTGTGATCCCCTCAGTGCCCTCCATCCCCTCAGCCCAGCGCTGCTCCCACCCTCCCGACACACTCGGCTGAGCCCATGGCGCAGTGCCGGCGGCAAGGCCGGGCCGGGCAGGAAGGGGCGGGTGCCGCCGGCGGCAGTCGGTGCCGGCTTCCCGGTGCTCGGTGCTCGGTCGGGCCGGCAGCAGGTCAGGGCCAGGCCGATCGGTGGGAGAGGGCCTGGGCGGGCTGAGGGGTTAGCGGACTCTCCCCTCAGGCCGGGCGGGACCTTCCCCTCAAGCCGGGACTCTCCCCTCAGGCCGGGCGGACCCTCCCCTCAGGCCGGGACCCTCCCCTCAGGCCGCTCCCTTGCTCCCGCCGCTGCCTCCCTCCCCTCGGCGTGGCCTGAAGCGCTGCATTCCGTCAGTAAGTGCGTGTGTTGGATGCGCCGAGACTTCGGACGTGAAGGACTCGTGGTAAAAGCGTAGATGGCAGTGTCCGCCCTCACAGCTTCCCCTGCTGAGTTGGTGCCTTCACGCTTGTCAATGTGCTGTTCCCTCTCCGCAGCTTTGCTCACTTCATTCTTGAGGACATCGCTTCTGATCCGCTGCTGTGCAAACCTTAGGATGAACCGAATTAAACACGCTCACTTTTCCAACTGCTTAAGCTTTCGGCTTCTCTGTGTCCCTGTCCCCTCGAGCTCTGATCCCTGTGGCCCATCCATATCGCATTTATTTGTTCTTGCATTGAGACAGAACTGTGTTCATACCTCGGATCACGGATTAAAAGCAGAGGCTATGGTGCTCCCAGCACCTCTGGAGCCAAGTGCACGTTCCGAAAAATTCTCTTTTTGCCCAAACACTTTCACAGTCCCAGCGTTGTGTGCGATGTGTAACCACAGTTGGGCTGCGCTGTCCCCACTGTGCCTTAACGGGGCTGCTCCGGCTGAATAATTACCTACAATCGCTTCTCTGAAGTTAATGAGATGCCTCATTAACTTTGGGCAGTTGTGGAGATGTCGCTTTTGTCACAGTTTAGGACAAACGCAATGCCGCCCTGTCTGTATTTCCTCTTTCAGCTGCAGGGAACACGTGTATCGTGCAGCTTTAGATCCCCAAAGGAATTATCTCTCTCCTCTCCAAACAGGATTGCATGACCTGCTGTATAAAATACACCATCTCTCAAGAAAACAAACGGCTTTGTGTGAAAAATGAGAGCTATGGAAGTGATAAAAAATTCTCTTTCAAGTGGCAGTTCAGATTATGGCAATGATATTGATTGCTGAACCACATTGTTTGAGGCAGGGATCAGAATTCCAGTGCCATGAGACTTAAAAACTTGGAATAAATAACTTTTGGAATCTAACTCTCAATTCCCTCATCTTGGATTTGTAGCAAAACTTCTTGGCCCAAATTTTCTTTAGTAAATCACACATTGCCCTTTTATTATGGTGTATGTCTGAAAATCCCAAGCCTATTTTTTCCTACATGTTTATAAGGGAAAAGATATTTGTGTAAAGGGAAGTACATGGATCTGAGCATCTTCAGAGCAAAATCTTCCAGAAACTTCCTCTGGGTATTTTAGCTTCTCAGCACTCTGAATTGTTTGTTGCATGCCAGGAGCCACCATGGTGTTGCTCCATTATTGCTCCATATTTTATGTTATTAAGAAATTAAGTTATGGTTCAACAGTTAAAAGGTCATGGATCAGTTTTTAGCTGCTTCACTTTTCATCTAAGCCCAAGTTAAGAAATCAATAAATTGATCAGGGAAGGGGGTTTTGTTTTCAGTGCTGTCTCCCATAATGTGTCCATGTTGTGACATGACAAATAATTGTAAAAATAGTGAAACTTTAGCAACAGATTATTCTTTGGAAAATTGTTCTGGAAGTTTGGATGTTTAAGGTTTCTGAGTGGGAAGGCAGGACAAACACCTTTCCTGGAGGACCATGACAGATGGCATGCAGATAATAAAATGTCTTTTAAAAGAGCAGCTCCTGTTGCACTTCTTTCTTTTAGGGCTCTAAAATGATCTCATGATCTATAAATGGTGTCTGCATCCCCTGGGAGTCACTCCTAGTGTCATGGGCTCCTAATTCCTATTTAGCCAGGGTGTGGAAGAAAATAAACATTTTAATTTGAACTATAAAATGAAATGGGTGATTTGGGCCTCTTAGAAACTGATTGGATCTAAAGGAAATCAGTAGAAATTCCAGGAGGTGGACGTGAGCCATGGAGCAGGTTGTTACCCAGGCTGAATTTGAAATGAGATATTGTCACCTCTGCATGAGGTCTCAGTTTGCTGCTGGCACCATCAGGACAGCAGCTGGAAGCCCTTTCACTTGGAAGTGTGCACAGCTACACTCTAAAAAATCATATCTTGGCCAGCTCAAGGTCTGTGTGGTCCAGGGATCTTGTTTTTAGGGAAAAAGCAGTGGCAGGTTGTATGGAGGAGGAATATTACAAGCAAAGCACAGCAATGAGCATGGGACACATCGAAGTCCTTCTCACAGGCTGCAGCTGGACTCAACTTTTCTAATCCTGTCAGCAAAACAAGCAGGAGCAATTTGGGCTGAGGATGAGAGAGGAAAATTATTTCCCAGGCAGCTGTACTGGTCCCTGTGCCAGGTGCAGAGCTTTTATTTTCATGTTATTTTTGCAGTAAGTGTGGGACTGAGGCCTGAATGGATCCCAGTCCTTTTGCATCCCAAAGGGAACTTGTCCTTTTGCAGGTCAAAATATTTATTGACAGCTAATTTTGTACAAA